CACTAGCTGCATGCCCCTCTCTCCCCTCCCACACTCCATCTTCACTCCCCAAACTGGCTGACAGACTAAACAGTAGTGCATTTCTTAACTTCTTCTGCTCGCCTCTCACTGCACACATTCTATATTCTATATTCAAGACTGAAAATGTTGAAACAATCAAGAGGGCAGATGCTGCCTCGACCTCTCTCCCCATTGAGCTGAGCTCCTCTGTGCTCACCCATCCACTTTAGCCCAGAGAATAACCTGTCTGGAGAGCATTCTCTTGGAGCACACACAAGCATCACTGAATTTTCTTTTGCTTGATAAAGGATAAAGGAAGAAAAGCAGCAGCTGCTCTAGTAGCAGACAGCAAACAAGCTTCACTGTGGTGGTCCCACAGCCTTCACAAAGGGGATTCAAGAGAGCTAGGCAAACAAACTGTACAGACCAAGACTTCCACACAGATTCACCTGCCAAAATTATTAATTAAAAATCTAAAGAACTGTCCAGGTGAACTGAGAGTCTAATAAAGCACATTTTTCAACTGGCCTTTTATTAAGTTGGAAGAGAATACAGTTAGTTGAAGGACTGGAAAGAGTTTCAAAGATCACCTAATCCAACTCTAACTCCACATCTTCCAATTTTAAGATACAGGTAATCCCAGAAAGATTGTAGAAAAGATTCACCCCTGTTCCAGCCTGTGTACAAAATAACACTGCAGATCTTAAAAAATATTTTTACAGGACATTTATAAGGCACTTCGTGTAGCATCTTATGCACAACAGCTCTTCAGATACTCTTAAGAGATGGCTGCCTCCTGCATGCCCCACATTAAATATATTTTATTGAATTTTTTACAGGGAGGAAGGGAGAGAGATAGAGAGCTAGAAACATCGATGAGAGAGAAACATCGACCAGCTGCTGGGGATGTGCCCGCAACCAATGCACATGCCCCTGACCGGAATCGAACCCGAGACCCCTTAGTCCGCAGACTGACGCTCCACCACTGAGCCAAACCGGTTTTGGCCAGTGATTCTTATTATTGACATTTCTATCTCTCTCTCCCTCTCTGAAATCAATAAAAATATATATTTTTAAAAAGCATGCAAATGAATTATACTGCTTGGGGTAAAATCTTAGCTCTGCCACTTACTATGTAAACTTGAGAGAAATAACCTCACTTGATCATACCTTGCGCACCACAGGGTTATGGAAACTGAGATGACTGATGCAAGTGCTTAGCAGATAGTAAGCACTCAGTGGATGTTAGTGACAATTTAATCTTGCTCAATCTTCAGTGAGCTCTTCTAGTTTGAAGATTCATTTCTGAATTTCTAAGGAATTATCCTCTCATTCTTTGAAAATATCCTGTTTGCCTTTCCACTCTAAAATGAAAATAAGCAGGTTACCAGATTTCCTACATTGATTTATCTCCTCTCTCATAATTTCTCTCTTTTTGATCTTTTGGGAAATTTCTTCAGCTTTATACCCTACATTTCTGCTGCTTTGAATTAGAAAAATAATTTTAAATTTCCAAGAACTCTTTCTTATTGTTCCCTTTTCAGTTTTTTTTAATATATGCAATATCTTTTCTTTCTAATTTTTATTTTGAAAACTTAGAAAAGTTGAATCATACAGTGAACACTTCTATATATCTTCCACCTACATTCAGTAATTTAAAAAAGATTATCACATTTACTTTCTTTCTGTAGATATGTTTATGCATATATGTATGTACATATGTGTATATATATCCCACCTACACAAATATTTTTTTCTGGACCATTTGAATATAATTTGTAGAGGTCAGGACTCTGACCCTAAATACTTAAAACATGTGACGCAGAGGAATAAAGACATTTTTTAATCTACACAATCATACTATCACAACTATGAAAATTAACAAAATTCCATGTCATCTAACAAAGTCCATATTCAGATTTCTCTATTATCTCAAATATGTGCAAAACCTACCAAAATGTGAAGTGCTATACATACCCTTCACTCAAGAGATTCCATCACTATTTTACATATACTTACACAAGAATGGGGCCTAGACATGATGCTCGTACGAGAAGATAGGAAACCCAAATGTGCATTAATATAGGGTTGGGTTAAACACAGGGAGCTCAAACTATGGAATATCAAACTACGAAATACTATTAGAACGAAGGTGTTTGGAATTGAAGTGTTCTAATATCCTATCTAATAAAGAGGGAATATGCTAATTGTCTGCCCTACCCTCAAAGAGGCAATGCCCACAGCCAATGAGGGGATATGCTAATTGACTGTCACACCCCCAAAGATGGCAGTACCCACACCCACAAGATGGTGGCGTCTAGTCCCCTCAGCCTTGCTGGGGCAGCAGGCGCCTAACTCTGGAGTCCCCCAGTCCCCTCAGCCCCACAGCTGCCCAGGACCGGCCCGAGATGCAGGCAAGCCTTGGATGGCAGCTGCCTAGCTGCTCAGGGCTGCCCTAGGCTTAAGTAACCAGAGCCAGCTGAGGCTTGCGCTGCCAGCAATGGTAGCAGCAGAGGTGTGATGGGGCATTCCCTTCCCGATTGCTAGGTTGCCTCCTGCCCCTGAGGGCTCCTGGACTGTTAGAGGGGGCAGGCCAGGGTATGGGACCTCCCTCCAGTGCATGATTTTCATGCACCAGGCCTCTAGTTACATAATAAATAGTGCTTTCAGTGGAAGAATACTCAATCCGCACATAACAGTGGTTCTCAAGGGTGATTTTGCCTTTCAGAGGATGTATGGCAATGTCTGGAGACATGTTTGGTTATTACAACTGGAGGTAGCACTACTGGCATCAGTGAGTAGAGGTCAGGGATGCTGTTAACCAGGTCACAATACACAGGTCAGCCTGCTCAACGAAGAATGGCCTGCCCCAAGATGTCTATATTGCTGAGATTGGGAAACCCTGCTATAGAACACTGAATGGTAAAGTTTGAGAAAAGTAAGACTAAAGGAATAAACAAAGTCATGTGCACAGGCCTAAGCATCAACTTATTGTGCTTTTAAGATAATGCACATTTCTAACTGTGGATGGTTAGAGAAGTCCATTATGCTCTTATTTGCATAGAGCTTATTCCAGACTGGTACAATATTAAGCTTCTGTAACCTTGGTTCATGTTAATAATTATAACTGTTGTAAATATATTATCACTGTAAGAATGAGGTCAGACTAGTCTCTGATTCTAGGGCTTTAAACTATAGGTAAATTTCTGGATAACATAGGAGTAAACTGTGTGGTCCTCTTATATGTAGGTTTAAAATTTCTGTGTTCAAGTGGACATGCACATTATGTCATCTGTATTTTTAATCCACAGTTGGGAATTTGCATACATTGAGGACTTGGGTTATATATGAATTTTATTATGTGCGGGTGGTTGATGCCCCTGACTCCTGCTTTGTTCAAGGGCCTACTCTATTCCTACATCTAAGCATAGCACATGTATAAGAACATGCATTGTGTGTTGTTTGTAATGGGAAGTATTGGAACAACCTAAATAATAGTGGTCTGGTAGAGTAACTTATGGTATAACCATACAGTGGAATAACTGCATTAAACAAGAGAGCTCCAATGATCTTCAGAAGTTTAAAGTTTAAACAGTAAGTAGGAGAACAATATATGTGGGAGGTTACCATATGTTATGATATATAAAATAAATATACTGCCCAGCTAGTGTGGCTCAGTGGTAGAGTGCCAACCTATGAACCGGGAGGTCACAGTTTGATTCCCGGTCAGGGCACATGCCAGGGTTGCAGGCTGATCCAGTGTGGGGTGTACAAGAGGCAGCTGATCAATGATTCTCTTTCATTACTGATGTTTCTAATTCTCTTTCCCTCTCCCTTCCTCTTAAAAAAAAATAAAAAATTAAAGTTCAAGTTATATACCATTTTGGAGGTTATATAACAACCTTACTTTCTGATACGCATTATAAACACCAAGCTTTTACTTTTATGATTCCGTATCAAGCAATTTATACTCCAATAAAGATAAAGTAACAATAAACTATTTACCATTACTTTTTTTTCTTGTTGGACTTCAAAATCTTGGAACCTTGTAACCAATCACAACAGATATCCACCTCATTATACACAAGATTTCAATTATGGTGTAAATTGGATTTTTATAAACTGATTTTCATCTTATTATCATATCATTTAAAAAATATATATTTTATTGATTTTTTTTACAGAGAGGAAGAAAGAGGGATAGAGAGTTGGAAACATCTACGAGAGAGAGTCATCGATCAGCTGCCTCTTGCACACTCCCCACCAGGGATGTGCCCGCAACCAAGGTACATGCCTTTGACCGGAATCGAACCCGGGACCTTTCAGTCCGCAGGCCAATGCTCTATCCACTGAGCCAAACCGGTTTCGGCAAATTATTATCTTATATTATTGTTATTTATAAAATAGTTATACTAAAACTAACTTCTAAATTATCTTCAATTAATATCTGATGCTGAACATTTAGGTTTTAGGTTGTATCTAGTTTCTCCCCTCTCTCTTATCCATGCTACCCCTAAACAAGTGGTTAACTGGAGTTTGCTTAAAACAAATCTATACTTGGAACATTTCTATTTAGAAAAATCATATAGGAAAAACAAATTAGGAAGACCTCAAAAAAAAGTGTTTTAAAGACGTCAGATGTAAAATCTTAGAAGCAAAGAGTAGGAAGAATAATAACAGCTTAAAACCTAAAGCTTTAAACATGACTGAAAAAGTATTTAAGAATCATATCACACATTAACACAACTAAACATTTATTATACTGTTTAAGAAGGCAAGCAATTTTGCACTGACATTTCAGAAGCTGTATCTTTAAAATGTAATATATGCTCATAGACTCTAAACAGTATTTTAAAATATACAATCTCTCCAAAAGAAAATATTCAACTAAAGATAACTTTTAATGTAAGTAAAATGTTACAAGATTTTAAAATTAGTTATATTTTTCACTACACAACGTACAGAAATTTGCAAACTTCCTGTACAGAGCAGTATAATCTTTATTCTTGAGCAAGGCGTTCAATAACACGTCGATAATCGTCCACAAGATCCTGAAAGCTTTCTTCCAGTTGTTCGTGTTGCATGCTTATTTCTATTTGGTTCATCTGGTTTGTCAGTTCTTCTGGTCTAAGACATTTTCTCATTTTAGCAAGATCTCTCTGCTTTTTCTAAGCAACAAACACAATTATTGGTTAGACTAAGAAAGCTGATATGTGTCTTTATATTCTTAGATTTTATTTTTTAATTTATTTTTATTTGAATTTAATAAATGTATTTAATAAAAATAGAGAGGGGGGGGTCCTCTTTCCCATACATTCAGAGAGGAAGGAAGAGGGAGAGAGAGAAATAGAAACATCAGCCGAAATCGGTTTGACTCGGTGGATAGAGCGTCGGTCTGCACACTGAAAGGTCCCAGGTTCGATTCCGGTCAAGGGCATGTACATTTGCTGCAGGTACATCCTCAGGAGGGGATGTGCAAGAGGCAGCTGGTTGATGTTTCTCTCTCATTGACGTTTCTAGCTCTCTATCCATCTCCCTTCCTCTCTGTGAAAAATCAATAAAATATTAAAAGAAAAAAAAGAAATAGAAACATCAATAATGAGAGGATCGCTGAAACCGGTTTGGTTCTTCCGGTCAAGGGCATGTACCTTGGTTTGCGGGCACATCCCTGGTAGGGGGTTTGCGAGAGGCAGCTGGTCGATGTTTCTCTCATCAATGTTTCTAGCTCTTTATCCCTCTCCCTTCCTCTCTGTAAAAAACCAATAAAATATATTATTTAAAAAAAAAAAAAAAGGAGGCAGTCGATCAATGATTCTCTATCATCATTATATTTTTAGCCCTCCCTTTCTCTCCCTTCCTTTCTGAAATCAATAAAAATAATTTTAAAATGTATTGTGTTATGTGATAGGAATATAAGCCCTTTATCTAAATTGCAAACCAGTTGTACCACTTATTTAGTAATCCATTGCTTGAAGCTGCTTCCAATCATATTAAATTCATATATATATATATATATATATATATATATATATATACTATCATATTAAGTTTAAACTATCATATTAAGTTCTTAAATATAGTCATCAGTTCTGTTCCAAATAATAGAATTAATCATATGCCTGTAACATATGTTTTAAATTATTATGCTGTTTTTAACTTTCTAAGAAAGCATACTTCCAGACTTTATCTCCCCCTCCCTTACTATCTTCATTTTCTTCAATGTCAATTTTTTTTCAGATGGAAGTCAGAATTAAACTCTATTATACTTTTAATTGGTATGGCAAATCTATGAATTAAATTCAAGAGAGCTAAGTACCTAGGAATAAAAAAATAATAACTTCATGGGAAAAGTATAAAGCTATATATGTAAATTTATCACAAAGAAGCCCTGCTGGTGTGACTCAGTTGGTTGAGTGTAATCCCATGCACCGAAAGGTTGTGGTTTGATTCTGATCAGGGCACATGCCCAGATTTTAGGTTTGATCCCCAGTCAGGGTGAATTCAGAAGGCAACCAATTGAAGTTTCTCTGTCACACTGATGTTTCTCTTTCTCTCTCTCTCTCAAAATAAAAACATATTTTTTAAAATCTGCTAAACCAAAGGGAAATATTTTTTTAAAATCTTTAAAAATATGCACAGTGTAATGTATTTCTAAACAGTTCCTCACTATGGAGCTCTGCATTTCCATGTTACAGAACAGAAGCCCAGTAAACAGTTGCTATTGACAGTCACATAACCTGTAAAAGGTAGAACTAGACCTCATTCCTGGTTTCAAATCCAATGAGAAAACACCCATTCTAGATTTTATGTTTGTAAACCAATTAGGAGTTAAATATGCCTTTGAAACAATATAAAAGGTTTAATGCTAAGACCAAGCAGCTGCACCAATTTTATCTTTTTGGGGGGGAAATTGTTCACATTTATCTTGAACACCTGAAAATTACTTCTATTCTAGAGATGAGTTGTTTTTATGTGATTTTAAAAAATGATTCTAGTTAATACAGGTTATTTTTATCTCTTCTTGGCATCAATACAAATAAAGTTATCAATGTTTAAAGAACTTTAAAAGTAAGGTATTAGAGCAGCAGCTGCCAGGCTGGGAGCGGCCAGGCCCGGAGCAGCCGGGTCGGGTGCGGCCAGGCCCGGAGCAGCAGCAGCCAAGTCCAGAGCAACTAGATCGGGAGCGGCAGTGACCAGACCCGGAGCAGCTGGTTGTGGAACGAACCAGAGCAACAGAGGCCAGGCCCGGAGCAGCCAGGCCTGGAACAGCTCGCTACTCGCCTGCCCCTGCCCCACAGCTGCCTCTCAGACATGTCTGGAAACTTTTGCGGGAACTTGAGGGTCTGCTGAATCAAGTGATGAAGGCTTAGATCTGGATGTGTTGAGTTAGTATAGGGCTGGGGTGTTGATCTGTGAGTGCCTTGGGTGGGGCCTGGATGAGGCTAGTTGACCTATTGGGAAATGTCTTTTGTGTGAAGTGTATCATTGGGTATGTGGAGGTATTATTGATATGAGAAAATGCTAAGTAACTGATTTACTATCTGAAAAGGGATTTACTATCGGGGAAAGGGAGGGAGGAAGAGACTGAACATAAACTGTGCACCTATGGATGAGGACAATGGGGGATTGGGAGGGGGCGGAGGGTGGGGTGGGAACCTGGTGGAGGGGGGAAGAAATGAGGAACCTTTGTAATAATATGAACAATAAAGATTGATTTAAAAATAAATAAATAAAAGTAAGGTATTAGTAATTCTAATATCTATCCAAATAATTTCTTAGTGAGACAGTGTATTTAAGTTGTATGTGAACTTGATCCCTTAAATAAAGGCAGACAAAAATCAGTGGACTTTTCTATCAATAAATCAATCATAACTCAGTAATAAGTTAGCAACAATCAAAATTATAATTTCTTTTCATAAAATGTGTTAAAATAAAAATGTAAATTTTACATTCCAAACTTTCCCCATTAAAATGCAGGCATATATTTTACAGATCTAAAAAAAATTCTAAACTGCACTCACTATTTGGCAATTTTACTTTATTCTTAAATTTAATTCTCTATTTGAGAATGCTGTGGTAACAAAACAAAGTGCACGAATATCAGCTTGGAATGACAAATTGGAGAAAATCATCTGCATACATTCAACAAGGAAATCTTATAACTACCCGTTTCCCCGAAAATAAGACAGTGTCTTATATTAATTTTTTCTCCCAAAGTTGCACTCGGTCTTATTTTCAGGGGATGTCTTATCTTTCCATGTGCTAGGTCTTATTTTCGGAGGATGTCTTATTTTCGGGGAAACACGGTATTCCCATGCCTATAGGACATTTAACTCATTTCTTTTTTCCCCCTAAATATATTTTTATTGACTTTAGAGAGGAAGGGAAAGGGAGAGAGAAACATCAATGATGAAAATCATTGACCAGCTGCCTCCTGCACAACCTGACGGGGGATCAAGTCCATAAAACATCCATGTACCCTGATGGGGAAACAAACCATGATCTCCTAGTTCGGTGGTTTTCAACCTTTCTAATGCCACGACCCTTTAATACAGTTCCTCAATACAGTTGTGGTGACCCCCAACCATAAAATTATTTTCGTTGCTATTTCATAACTGTAATTTTGCTACTGTTATGAATCGTAATGTAAATGTTCAACCACTGAGCCACACCAGCTGGGCATTTGAACTCATTTCTAGGCTTTTCCAATTTGTAGTAGGTTTCCTATCCTAAGCATTGTGGCCTTCAAACCAAAGTGGGGGAGTGGGGCCCTCAAGCTTTCTTGTTTTTTTTCAATGGGATAGAACACTGGATAACTAAATTTATTAAAAAGTACATTGTTAAAAAGGGTTTGAACAAGTATTTGAAGAATTTGTAATTTGCCTCTGAGCTTTATTTCAAGAATGATGATAACCATTTTGGCTGTTAAGAACCTGAAGAGTTTAATAACCAGTTTTTGGTTGTCTTTCAGGTAGGTGAAGATGTTAGATAGATGAAGATACTTAATATAAAAAAATCACTATAATGCTTTAAAGTAGGAAATACTTGTTTTTGTGAACTATAGAAATTCCCATTATTTGGCCTAACTTTGTGAATACTATTCACACTCAAAATTCACCATCCCCCACTTGCTAGTCTGCTTATGTAAAACGTCACATAAATATTAAATGGGTATAAATAAATTATTTTATGATACTAAAAACAGTTTTGCTCAGCTGGCGTGACTTAAGCGGTAGGGCATCAACCTATGAACCAGGAGGGTCACGATATGAATCTCAGTCAGGGCACATGCCCAGGTTGCAGGCTTGATCCCCAGTGAATGGCATGCAGGAGGCAGCTGATCAATAATTCTCTCTCATCATTGATGTTTCTATCTTTCTCTCCCTCTCCCTTCTTCTCTGAAATCAATAAATATATTTAAAAAAATAAAAAATATACTAAGTTCAATTATGGTAAAATATAAATGGCAACAAAGGCCATATTTAGGAAGGAGGGAGCAAAGGCAAACAGAATTTATATAACAAATGGGGAGACAGACTCAGAAAAAAACTAAAGATAATTTGTTAGGATAGAATCTGGACATTCATATTTTTTAAAATTGTATACAAATGAAAGAAAACAACAAAAGCCATTGGTAAACTATTTTTAGGGTTAATTTTTAAGTGCATGAAAGATATTTATAGCTTACATTAGAAAATTATGACAGTGAGAACTCTTATAACTAACTAGAAGAACATTTTTACTTTTGTAAAAGTTAATTTAGCAAAATGATTTGGAATTCCCCATACATTGGCATTTGCTAAACTTTCTTTTCCATTTTAAATAAGGGCAAAAATAAAATGTTTAAGACTCTTGAAAGTCCTACCTTATATGGGCTAATTAGTCTTCTTTTAATATCCAATCTGTAACTTCTGTATTGTTCAGCATCACTCATGTCAGTTACCAGTAGGCGAAGAATTTCATAAACCCGTCTAGCATGTTTCTAATAAATGAAACAAAAAAATTATATCCATTTCTCAAAAGAACATAGGGTATATTGAATACATGCCATAGTCCAGAAACTGTGCTAGGTACCAGATGAAAAGCAGTAAAAGATAGTCTCTGTCCTCAAGGAGCTACTTAGCAGTCTAGTGGGTAACACAAGTGATAGAAATACACATAAAGTATTATGGGAGCATAACCTGGGAATGAGAGAAATGTTAGAAGGGGATTCCTGGGAGAATGCTGAGCTGAATCTTTTTTTAAAATATATTTTATTGATTTTTTACAGAGAGGAAGGGAGAGAGAGCTAGAAACGTCAATGAGAGAGAATCATCGACCAGCTGGCTCTTGCACACCCCCCACTGGGGATATGCCCACAACCAATGTACATGCCCCTGACCGGAATTGAACCTGGGACCCCTCAGTCCGCAGACCGACGCTCTACCACTAAGCCAAACCGGTTTCAGCCTGAGCTGAATCTTAAAGGAAAGACAGCATACCATTCCAGAAAGAAGTGAGGGCATCATATGTGTGTATGTGTATGCATGCAGAACAGAAGGAGCTTGATAATGCTGGATCACAAAATGAAAAGTAAGGTGCAAAAGTAGACTGACATTGGAGCAAGAATACAGAGCCTTATATGCTGCATTAAAAAATTGGGCTTTTTATCTAGTAAGTGATAGAAATGGGGAAGTGAACAAAGTACGCAAATTTGCCAAGTAAAGCATTCTCTCAGCTACACAAAAAGAAAGGCAGGCAGACCAATTAGGAAGCTGAGTTTTAAATCAGGCAAAAGAAAAGGAAAAAAAAAGAGGGTATGAACTGATATAGCACAAGTAAGAATGCTAAGGGAACAAGGATTCTAGAAATAAAGAAGAGGAAAGATGGGATGTGGAGCAGGCTGTGGAATGACAGTGAATTTTCAGTCTAGAGAGAGTCAGGAGGCAGAACAACAAAAAATCTGAAGAAAATTCTAGTCTAAGGGTAAGGATTTAAGTGATATCGTTATATAGGCAAGAGTTAAAACTGTAAGCCTGGTTAAGATCTCCTAGGAAAAGCATCAACAACAAGAAGAGTGCTAGAGTACAGTGGCAGTTAAAGGGCCGGCAGAGGACAGAAAAAAAAAGTCAAAGAAATATTAGAATTATAAAAGATCTTTCATCATTGATGTTTCTCCCTCTCTGAAATCAATAAAAATGTTTTTAAAAATAAATAATTAGAACAAACTGATGTTTCTCGCTCTCTCTAAAATCAATTTTTTTTAAAAAGTAGGCGACAGCAACATCATGAATGAAACTGATCTGATAGGACCCATGGTTTTTGGAGTCACACTGTTTCTGGCTGGCAAAATCCAGTTTGACTATGTATATGGTATCAATGTAATTGGATGTCTAGGAATGTTTTGTTTATTAAATTTAATGAGTATGACAGGTGTTTCATTTGGTTGTGTGGCAAGTGTCTTTGATATTGTCTTCTTTCCATGATCCCACTTTCTAACTTTGCAGTGATATTTTCTTTGCAAGAATGGTAGGAATAATTCTTGCTGATAGAATTATTGGATGGTGTCATTTTTCTGCTTCCAAAATTTTAATTTCTATATTAGCCAAAGAAGGATAGCAACTTCTAGTAGCATATCCTTGTGCTTTGTTAAATTGAGTATGTCCTAATTTCCATTTCTGAACTGAATTTATTTGGGATGTGGACATCATTAGGCCAAACATACAAAAAGGACTTCGAACTCTTAAATTGAACTAGCAAACTGCTACAATGCAACTATCATGAAAATCTAATGTTTGACTATTAGAGCAATAGAAATGAACATGTATCCTTTTGTTCTTTTTTATAGAACTTTCTAATACTATATTAGGTCTACCTGCAGTATGATTAGCTTTAAGTGTTTGTGCTTATACAAATAAGAAGTGCTATTCTTTCCTGTTCCTGCAGGCTTTGAAAAACAATTTTTTTTCCTTAAATTATGTTTTTTATAGATTTTCATCAACTATGCAAAACTAACCACAAAGCTGATAAATCTTTCCTAAAAACAATCAGTCATAGTAAAGAAGACACAGATTTATTGCAGAAATATCTTCCTAAGGAATTAGAAAAGAAAAAATCACCTATACTTGCAAGTCAGATGTACTTCAAGCAAAAAAATGATCCCAATGTAGTTTGAGTATGCACTTCAAAAATCTGACATTCCTTAAAATTATCTCACAGAATTTCTGCTAAAATTCAATGACGCAGAAAGAAGTTCACAGCCTGCCCTATTGTAGATGTGAAATGGGAACACCTGTTTAGATATTAGCATTAACTAAAAAACAGTGACCTAGACTGGCCATATATTTTTAAAAAAATATATTTTATTGATTTTTCACAGAGTGGAAGAGAGAGGGATAGAGAGTTAGAAACATCGATGAGAGAGAATCATCGATCAGCTGCCTCTTGCACACCCCCTACTGGGGATGCTCCCGCAACCAAGGCACATGCCCTTGACCGGAATCGAACCCGGGACTCTTCAGTCCCCAGGCTGACGCTCTATCCACTGAGCCAAACCAGTCCCGGCTAGACTGGCCATATTAATGCTTATAGTTGGATCTCTGTATTTCTTGGAAAAAGAAAATCACTAACTTTTTTTGAAAAAATATTTAAAATGTCACAATTTCAGTATTGCAATTATGAATGTAAAGTGCATTTGATACTTGTTAATTAAAATTTTCCAATTTAAAAAAAAGATGATCACAATGTTAAGTGGAAAACCAGGAACTATAATGCCTTAGAAGCCAAAGGAGGGTAGGTCAATAGTATCAAATGTTAGTCCTTATTATTGGAATACCCTTCGTTCCACATACTTTCATAATCCAAATCCTACTCGCTCTTTAAGGCTAGGACACCCAAAACACTTTGATTCCCTTGCTTACATATAATAAATAAAAAATTTCCTCCTCTCAACTCCCATGCTATTTTTTTCTGCACCTATCTTAAGTTACTTACTACTTTATTTTTAAAATATATTTTTATTGATTTCACAGAGGAAGGAAGATGGAGAGAGAAAGAAAAATTAGTGAAGAGAGAGAATAATTATTCAGCTGCCTCCTGCATTCCCCACACTGGGGATCGAGCCTCAATCTAGGCCCACCCAGGCATATGTCCCGATGGGGAATTGAACCATGAACTTAACCACTAAGCCATGCGGGCAGGGCTTTACTACTTTAAAACTCAAGTAAATATAAAGTAAAAGTTAAATGTTTTATTTCAACCCCTTCTCCTTGCCAAAACTATCTCCAGGGGTATTAAGTACTTTACCAGTTTAGATAAACATTTTCTTAAAAAGCAAAAATAAGATCCCAATATTCGCCTTTTTCTGCTTGTTACACTTAACATAGCCATTAAATAAACTATCTTCCTACTCCATTAATGAGGAAATTGAGGCACAGGAGACAAACTAAATTGCCCTAAGATAATTTTTTCTTTCTAATTCCTACAGACCAAGTGGTAGAGCCAGATTAGAAACCAAACAATCTGAAACCAGTTTGGCTCAGCGGTAGAGCGTTGGTCTGCGGACTGAAAGGTCCCAGGTTCGATTCCGGTCAAGGGCATGTACGTTGGTTGCGGGCACATTCCCAGTAGGGGGTGTGCAAGAGGCAGCTGGTTGATGTTTCTCTCTCATCGACGTTTCTAGTTCTCTATCTCTCTCCCTTCCTCTCTGTAAGAAAAATCAATAAAAACATATTAAAAAAAAACAAAAACTAAAAAAACCCAAACAATCTGGCTTCAGAGCCTGTATAACAACTGTTACTTCCCACACATGTATTCTTAATGTATTTGCAATATTTAAGTTGTATACTTCAATACCTTATTTACTTTGAACTTTTGTTGTGCCTCTATTGCCATATCTTCATTGAATCCTTGCATTAACTTTTCCCGAGAAAAACAGGGCAAATCTTGACAAAGCTTCACAAGCACAAAGTCTCTTAAGTTCACATAGCTTTCAGATGGATCTTCCGCTAAAGAAATAAAGCAAAATAACATTTCCTTTACCCAACATAATGCCTTTATCACTTACAATCTCAATATATATATGCTAGTCTAGAAAGACAGATTTTCTTAAAACTATTATACATACACAAAAGTTACAATGTCAAAGGATTATTCATTATAAATCAAATAATAATACTATTATTTTTGCCAAATAAAATTGTAGGTACAATCCTTTTGCAAAAACATATTTATTTGTGAAATTAAAGCTATCTTCAAATTTAAACTTAAAAATATTTTAATTGACTGGGGTGTTACCATATGCATCTTAGTTTTATTTTCATTTAAAGTAGCTGTACAAACAAGAGATTGTTTGGATAATCAATTCCAAATGCAAATATTTTCTGATATCTAAGGGTTCCAAAGCTCAACTTATATAACTTCCTTACTTTAATCCAATAACCTTCATAGTTTGCACTTCATTGAAAAAAACTCTTATAAAAGCAAATAGTTTTTTAGAGAGTAAAATGAGACTATGATACCAATCCTTTCTTCACCGCATCTGAGTAGCATAAATCTTCCTTTATGTTTGTCTATGCTATCTACATTAGACTAAGTAGTAGACAAGGAAAACATCAAAATATGATGGATAAAAAGAATACTGCACAATCAGAGAACATGAGCTTGAGGACTATTCTGTCATTCACAAATGTAAGGACAAGTCACCTTAGTTCTCTAAATCTTCATTTTCTGATCAATAGAGGCTTAGAAACAAAGAATGTTAAAATCTGAGCTAATTCATGGGTCACAAGACTTAATATTGTTACAGTATCAATAATACTCTACAAATTATTCAATGCAGTCCCTATCAAAATCCCAGCTGGCCTTTTTGTTTCAGAAATTAATAAATTCAATCTAAAATTCATATGGATATGCAAAGAACCCAGAAGACACAATACAAAAATTGAAAAAGAACAGAAGTTAGAGGACTCACATTTCTTAATTTCACAACTTACTACAAATCTACAGTAATCAAGGACAAGGATAGATATATAGATCAAGGAATTGAATTAAAAATAAACCCTTGTATTTGTGGTCCATTTTTGAGAAGACAGACAATTCAATGAGGGAAAGAACAGTCTTTTAACAAATGACACTCAGCCGGGACCGGTTTGGCTCAATGGATAGAGCGTCGGCTTGGGGACTGAAAGGTCCCGGGTTCGATTCCAGTCAAGGGCATGTACCTTGGTTGCGGGCATATCCCCAGTAGGGGATGTGCAAGAGGCAGCTGATCGATGACTCTCTCTCATCGATGTTTCTAACTCTCTATCTCTCTCCCTTGCTCTCTGTACAAAATCAATAAAATATATTTAAAAAAACAAATGACACTCAGACAAAGGGATCGCCAGAAACCAAAGAATGAAGTTGGACCCCTTTCCTCACACCACACAAAAATGAACTCAATATGGATTATAGACCTAAATATAAGAGATAAAGCTATAAAACTCTTAGATGAAAAAAGGAGTAAATCTTCATGACTTTTGGTTAGGTAATGGTTTCTTAGATAACAGAACCAAAACACAAGCAATGAAAGAATAGATAAACTGGGCTATATAAACATTTAAAACTCTTGTGCTTAAAATTATACTATTAAGAAACAACCCCAAAAGGGTAAAAAAATATTTCCAAATCATATATATGAGACCTGTATTTAGATTTCTTAAAAAATGTTTATAATTCAATAAGAAAAAGACAACCCAATTTTAAAAATGGGCAAAGGAAGTATACACACATTTCTCAAGATATTCAAATGGACAATAAGCACATGAAAAGATGCTTAACATCACTCGCCACAGGAAATCAAAATCAAAGGAAATACCATTTCATGTCCACTAGAATAAAAAAGTAACAAATACAGAGGCCATCTATGGTTTTTTTTGTTTTGTCTTGTTTTTTAAATATACTTTATTGATTTTTTACAGAGAGGAAGGGAGAGAGAGAGCTAGAAACGTCAATGAGAGAGAAACATCGACCAGCTGCCTCTTGCACACCCCTACCGGGGATGTGCCCGCAACCAACGTACATAACCCTGACCGGAATCGAACCTGGGACCTTTCAGTCCGCAGACCGACGCTCTACCACTGAGCCAAACCGGTTCCGGCCAATGGTAAGTTTTAATTATCACTCTATCTGGCTCTAGGTCAAGTAAGCAAAAGGCCATCTCAATATAAAGAATATCCTGAATTGCAAAAGGAGATCCAAAGCATTCAAAAAATCCACAAAGTTAAGAAAACACACATACAAAATAATGAAGAAACAGGCAATTAAAATGACTTAGAGGAGAAAATTTCACTTTTTAAAAGGACTGGGTATGGAATCTAGAACTATCTTAATGAGAACAGCTGATAAGGCATTTTTAGTATTTTATAATGCCGAGAAATGGTAACGCTGAAAATAAAGGCTGATACCCCAGTTTTCAAATTCAGAAGTCCTTTAGCATGTTTAGCCTATTCTCTTAACAGACTTCAGTTTGCAATGAATAAAGGCTACCATTATTGATGACTCTTCACTGAAATTTAAGAAATAAAATTCTTTATCTGCTAATTGGTGCTAAGTATCAAGGACTTCATTGGTTGGAACAGACAGAAGAAAGTGGTTAAGAGGCTTCACAGAAACAAACCCTGCTGACACATTACCCACTAGAGAAGACAAAGACTACTTATGTGAACTACAGATTAAAATCACCACAAAAAAAGTCCCTTCATGTAGTACCAAGTCCAAGCTCTATAAGTAAACAGAAGCTAAACAATTTTCAGCTCAGCTAAAAAGAAGTGTTATCATTTGTATTATGTTTCTATCTTTTACAAGTCACTAAGTTAGTGAAAGTAAAACAAAACTTTTGATATTAACTTTAGTAATGACTGCTTTATCTCCCAAACTTCTAAACCATTTCACATTAGGAAAGTCACGTGAAAACATAATTCAACTCTATAAACATGGAACTAACTCCCTTTTAAAAACATGCTTTTCCTTCAATTTATTAATCTACAGGATCAATTCAAAATCTGTTTTGGGATAACTTTAATTTTATTTAGCCTGACCAAACAAAACCACTATATTACATTAAAAAGGAAGACCCTAATAATTTGCCTACTAGCCTATTTATATATTTTAGTCCCACATCCAGTGTATTTTTTTTGTCATTAAACAAACTGATAAAATTCCAAAATAGCATTTTTAAAAGGTTTACATTTTTGTGCATGTTAAGTGTTATAGTTTTAAAAACAAAGATTAAAACTCTTACAGAATTAATACCTAATTTGGATGTGAATATCTGGTACAGTAATTTTCTTGGGGAGGGAGGTGACTTTCAGTTCAATCAGCAACTTTAAGAGTAACAAATTTGAAACAGTGTTACTCAAGAATGAAATAATAACAATATAAATGTTCCTTGGGCCACTTGGTTCTTTGGTAGTTCACATTTACATACTATCGATCATCTGTAACTCTAGCTAATGATGACTTTTCCATTCAAGAGTCTCTTTTCCTCTTTTCTATTCATAATATTTCAATGGCTAATTCATACTGAAAGATCTTTTCAAAACAATTAGGCCTACATTACACCTTATAAACTGTTGTGAAGACACGCATTTTAGGAATATAAAACACACTCTTTTTAAAAATATACATATTTTATTGATTTTTTACAGAGAGGGAGGGAGGGATAGAAAGAAAGCTAGAAACATTGATGAGAGAGAAACATCGTCCAGCTGCTCCTGCACACCCCTTACCGGGGATGTACCTGTATCCAATGCACATGCCCTTGACCAGAATCGAACCTGGGACCTTTTAGTCCACAGGCTGACGCTCTATCCACTGAGCCAAACCGGTTTTGGCTAAAACACCCTCTTAAGAAATGTGTATTCTATTCAGGAACTACTTATTTGGTGTGGGTTGTTTTTTTTTTTTTCCCCCCTCAGTAAGTTTTAGAATATTCTGCTCCTACATGAAAATTTGAGCGTGGTTTCTGAGCAACGCAACTGTTGCTAAATAAAATGAACAAATAAGTCATACCATATTTACAACATGTTCATGCCTAACCAAGATTTTCCAATATATATTCAATTCAATATCTTCAATTTGTTCAATTAGTAAGCACTTCATATTGTAGAGATGTAATCCAATACCACTAAAGCATCTGATGTAAGCCATCTTTAGACAGTACCAAAAAGACCCAAGGACAATGCTGTTTAAAATAGAATACTTACCTTTGCCCCCCAAAATGATCAATCTGAAAATTTTTTTCTAGAAAGTATCTTTCAGTACAAATCAAAACTTACATACCTGTAATATCAAGAACAGAAGGAGATGCAATGTAATACCTATGAACTGTTTCAAGAAGTCGAGCACCATGGCCTTGACCTTGAAATGGAGTCAATATCAGCATCTGACTATAGTAAAGAAATTATTTTAAAGTTAAAATATCACATGACCAATTTAAAAATTGCAAATAATTAGAGTACTATGAACATTTTAAATCTGCATGATTTTGTTTTTCAATCAACTGTCAAAAAATCCAAAAATTATCAAGATATTCCAAATTGGCTTAATCTTCCTCACTGTTTCCAAGGGAACAATGAAATAAATCAGTACATAGCCAATGAATAATGGTGATTTTTAAAAAACAAATCAACACTATTATAACAAGTATTGGAAACTTCAGCAGTTCCTTCTTCTGAAATAAAAGGCAGGGCACGTGTTATACTGCCAATTACCTTACACGTGGCCGGGTTTTGTCTGGGTACACATAGTAATTATAGACTGTCATGTAGCCTACGGTCGCAAAGAGCGTAGCTCCATCCTTATTATACTTCTCAAATCTGCAGATAAAACAGAAAGCCAAGCAGGTCAATTACAGTCACGCTCCCATGCAGTGTCCATTTTCTTTTCCATTCTCTGACTGAATTTTCAGTGTCAGCAAGCTACTCTGTGAGGGCCCAATGGGTACACCTGCTATGTTCTGAATGTACAATTCACTTAATTGGTGTGCAGTAACTTGGATAAATCAGACCTCTTTACATCACTTCAGTGCACTTGCCTATTATAAAGATGAATAGGTGGCAAGTAAAAGAAAACATAGGCAAAGCTCATTTTACTGTTTAAGCCTACATTCAGGGCCCTAACGGACAACAGCATTTAATTCAGCTCTATTCTCAAAGTCTCCCAAAGCATAATGAAGGAAAACTCAAGCCTCATAAACAATAGTTTTTTTTTCCTGGGAAAAATATCATTATACTGTCCCAATAATTGGGTCGCCAAAATTAAAATGCTAGCTTTGTGGAGGTAATAAGGTCTACTGTTGCTTTAGAACTGTACTTACACTAGAAAGTAGTGCCATCTTTCATCATCCACGTCAATAAAGCTAGCAGTCTCAATAAACCACATCAAAAAGGTCTGAAGCCTTTCATGATATTCTCGAAAGCCTCTACACGTCATGTCAGCCTAGGGAAAAAGCCAGAAAAGTCAGGTGAAGCTCATCACAGAGGTGCGTGAAAATGTGGAGGACACATAACAATCCTGTGGGAAAATGTTTAGATTTTCCCAGATTAAGACGTGTACACAGACACATATAAAATATATCTTTGTTTTCAATGCTGACAAAACTTGGTTTCCTGAAGTTAGAATAAATCACTGAAAATAACAATAAAACAGCACATAGGTTCCTTTTATCCAAGAAATATTTAGATTTATTTTTACCTTGTATATCTGAAAGGTAAAGTTCTCCCCTGTTGGACTTAGAACAGAGTATGTATGGAGTAAGGTTCCAAATGGCTTGAAATCAACTTCTTTTTCCAGTAAAGAAAGAAAATCATTTGTGTTTGTGCAAAATCCAGGTGGAATGATTTGTCTAATTTTGCCCTCGACATCATCTGCCTAAGGAATGGAGGTGAAAGGACATAAGAATACATTAATAACAAATTTTATTTTTAGTTAAATATGCTTACTTTCTTTGAAATGGACAAAACCTACAAAAATCAAAAAACTTTAAGTTCATAAATAAACATGTAGTGAATTAGGAAAGGATGAGTTTCATGTACATTAGATACTGCCACACAAATCTGAGATTAAAACATAACATAGAAATAAAAAAGAGGAGGCAAGTAGCCTGAAATCAAGTGCAAGAATAAGAGCTACTGAAATTTCTAATACCATGTAGAAAATACTATGTCTCTTCAGGACAGTTTGAACTGCCCAAAACAAAGGCTGCTTATTATTTAATGTGTGTGAAGGAGACCATATTATCCAAGACATGAAAAGATCACCAGCAGTAGTGAAGTGAGGCTAGGGTATGACCAAAGTAACAACCTCACAATGAACAAATAGGTCATAACTCCTCATAACCAAACTCAAAATTAAAATAATTTTTAAATTATACCCTCTTAAGGAATACATAAATTATATGAACAGATATATTATCCACTTATCCCTATAATGTGACATAATTCTTATGGACTTAGATTTGTGACAGTAAAAAAGAGACAAGTCTGAACAACAAAATTAAATTCAGAGATTAAAATTACCCTTGTTAAACAACCTCAATGAATGTTAAAACTATCAGCTGAGCAGACTTCATAATCCTTTTCAAACCCCCAAAAGACCACTTGATTGAATACATTTACTACTTCTCTTTAACCATGAATATTTGATGAAGTCTTACAATAAAGTATTACTGCTTCTCACCAGGCAATAAAACTTAATGAATTGGTCTCAACTTAACAAAACCTTACCCTTCAATACAGTCCCTAAAAGCCTGACATTACATTCAACAAAATGAGCTTGCATACTATTCAAACTTTTTTTTCTGAACAATGAGGCCAGGTTTTTACTTAATGGAGTTTGCCGTGAGTTCAGCTGTAATGTTTGTATTGTATCTATTTCCACAAGGACTGACACAAGAACACTTTGTGTTAACTTACTAAGCAGCTCTTTCATACCGTTTACATGCATGATGGGTATTAGTTCTAAACCAAGACCCTTGCTACTTAGCATTCAAAACAGGGAAATTAAGATGCTTAGGACAAAATACACTACAAAAGGCTAATACAACATGCTACTAATTCCTGTCCTTTCAACCATCTTTTAACTAAGTAGAAGCAATGCACCTGCAGATGAATAGCACTTTATTATCATTCAGTTACATTTTAGGATACAGAACCAAGGATGGAGTTTATCACAAACAAGTTCTATTTTCAGTACTTTGGTACCACCAACATTTATATATATCTTATTTATAGCTATAAAAAAGAGAGCTATTATTTAAAATATAGCTGTTCAACATTGTGCACAACAGCTTTTTTCTAATATGTACACTAGTCCTTGCAATCCATTTACATTCAAGATCAAATAAACTGCATTTGGTAGGATTATTTTTATTTAAAAAGTACTGTTTGATAAATATTTCTCCTTGAAACTGCTATCTAATGTGAAGAAACCATCTTAAGCATATTTTATATAATCTGTACAGTTTCAATAATTACAAGAGGAAGTTGTAATAAAAAGGGATAGTTTTAATAGGTCTGTTGTATGGCAATCAAAATCCAGAGTACTGATGGGTAAAGTAGTGTAATTTTAGTTCAAGTTTAAAAAAAGAAACACTACTTAAATAAAGAGGTTTATAATCTACCAGCTTAAAAGAAAATACTTCAAGGCATTTATAATGTATATAATTTTAACTTTTTAAAAGCATTCCCTATGTTCCATCTTCTCAACAAGGCATTGCAAAAGCATAATCAAATGAGTTCAAATATCTTGCATCAAGTAGCAGTTCTGGTAGAAGACAGAACAACACAAAAGTTTGAACACAACGAAGTTGAAAGAGAGCTAATGTTTAACTTTCAAAAGATAGCTATTTATTGTACCAAATATTTTCAAATAATTATTTTGCTCTGGGCAAGTTTATACATACTTTAAGAACTTTCATAGGGGAATAAAAGGCTAAGTTTAAAAACAAGAAATTTATTACTATTTATAACAAGGTAGAAAAAAATGTATAGTATACAACAAAAGTAGGTTTACAGTTGTATGAAAAATAATTCAATAATTAATAAATAACAACACAAGAATAAACTCTATGTCTGGTACTCACAACTATAAATCTACTTTGGTCCCACCCTGGGTATCTGATATGTTACATTATATATATAATATAAAACCAAACAGCTTTTCAAATCTAGAATTCAGAACTTTGTATCACTAAAAGAAAACTTTATATTTCTCTATTAAATGGATTGTGCCTTAGGAAAAAAAGTTTCATAAACAACATGTTTTTGAGATCTGTATTCCTCTTTTTCCAAAGGAATAAATATATTTTAGACCAGTTAAATATTCATTTCTCATAATGGGTTACTGATCAGATAATAAAATCATTCAAGATCAAATAAACTAGAGAAAAACTCTAACCATTTTTAATTGAATGTCGAATTAAAGATTAACTGAAACCGTTAGTCCCAAGGATTGTGGCTAAAGGTTTAGATTCCATTTCTGAAGATCACTGAAAATTTCCCTATCTTAAAGAACTTCAATTAAAATTATACAAAAACATAGTTAATGAAAGGATAACAAATTAAGCTGAAAAGATCAAGAATTCAAACTAAAACCTAGTACATTTAATTAATAAAATTATACCTTACAAATGTTTTCCTAACATCTGGCAGCATTTTTTTAAAGGAAAAGTATAAAAGTAACTATTCTATTTAGGTCTTATATTATGTGAATCATGATAAAATGTTTTAGATTGTATACTCTCTCATTATGGTCATTTCAACTTCTGACTTCTATACTTTGTTACATATGTTCCTATGAAGCAATTTTTGCTTTTCCTCATCACTGCTTAAAGCAATGTGCCTGAGAATAACTGGTAGTCTGCTATAATAGAAATATGTTTATACTTACATTTGTTTTTATACACATTTGAAAACCAAATTACATTAAATCCTCACTCAATGTAATTGATAAGTTCCATGATTTTAAGAGAAACGATGTATAATGAAACCAATTTTACCATAGGATAATTGATGAGTTTATACATGAGTTAAGTTCCTACAGCATATCATCAAAGTTATACTAGTAATGACTCAGAATGAAACAAAATTATTCAAGGACCTGCTATACCTTATCAGTGTATTAACCTAATAGTACCATTTGTCTAAATTTGTCTATGGAGAGTTATTTTTGAAACTGCAATTTTAAAGGCATGTTAAGTAGATGGTACCTGCTATCATTTATTTGGCTAAAGTGGCAGAGTTAATATCTACACTAATGAAAGAGAAATATGCAAACTGCCCATACCTCTGCAACTACCACCCACCAATCAGAAGTATGCAAATTAACCCAACAAAGATGGAGGGTTAATTTGCATACACAGGCACAGAGTGAAGACTGAAGGCTCCGGCCCAAGCCAAGACTAAAGACTGAAGACAACTGAAGACTGAAGAGGCTTGGCTTCTCCTCTATGGCTGGAGCGGAGAAGCCAAGCCTCACTGTGGCCAGAGCGAAGGCCTGGGTCCCAGGTGCTGGAGGAAAACTGGTGCCAGCAGCCAGGAGAAAAATGGCCTATTTCACGAATCTTCGTGCAATGGGCCTCTAGTTAATTATAATTCTAAGAATATCTAAGATATGCTATAAAAGCAAGTGAAGGAAATTCCATATCTACTTAATGTGCTCATATTTAAATTCTGGGGGAGGCTGGGGGGGGGTGAGAAAAGATAAACCAAAGAACTGTATACTTACTAGAGACCCGGTGCACAAAATTGGTGCACAGATAGGGTCCCTAAGCCTGGCTGGTGATCACGTATGATCAGGGCCTTCCAGCTGCCTGCTGGGCCTTCCTTCGTTCTGTGCCATACCCTGATTGTCAGCGCACATCATAGCAAATAATCGAACTCCCAGTCGAACTCTCAAGGGGATACTTTGCATATTAGCCTTTTATATATATACTAGAAGCCCGATGCAGAAAGATTCATGCTATAATGGGCTTTCCCTGGCTGCCGGCACCGCCTCTCCACTCCAGCCCAGCCCCTTTCCACTCAGGCCCCGGAGTTGCCTCTTTCCACTCCAGCCCCGCCTTCCCACACTGCCTAGAGGCCCTGAGAGACCAGGGATGGGGCCGAATGCCTGTGGCGTAGCCATGGCAATGATGCAAGCATCCCACTTCCATCACTCAGAGCCTGTGTATGCAAATTAACCAATGGGTTAATTTGCATATCATTGCTGATTGGTGGCATAGCAGAGGTACAGTCAATTTACATGTTTGTCTATTATTAGGTAAGATGGATAGAAGATATGTACAGCCCATGGATACAGACATTAGTGTGGTAAAGGCCAGGGGGTTGCGGGGGGGGGGGGGGAGGGGAGGGGAGGGAGGCTGGGCAGAGGGAGGTATATGGGGGTGGGAGGAGATGGGCCATCTGTAACACTGTCAATAATTTTAAAAATATTTAAAAACAAATTTAGAATCTAAACATTTTTTTAAATTCTCGGACAATATTTAAGTTGTAAAATCTTGATTATTGTAATTAACTGTAAACTTTTCCACCACTGGAAAGACAATGGTTATATTGTTCGTTTATATTACATTAGTGTTTTGCCACATGAACTCACAAACAAAATTCCAAAATAAAAAGCTCAATATATGATTTTAAATCTAAACATATAATTTTTAAAATGTTTTATAATCAATAAAAATAAAAAACATTAAATATTATTGATATTTTATACTCCATAAAAAGCATTACTTATAAGGAGCATTTAAAATTATTTTTAAAAAGAGTATAGTGAAATATTATTAGTCTAATAAAGACTATTTTTTCATTTCCTCAAGATTAGTTTTTTGTAAATGTGCATGATTTTTCTATAAGAGGCTAAAGAATCCAGAA